GATTTCTTGGGGTGCGGAGATGCGCGGTCCGAAAGAAAGTGGCTGATAACAAGTGTTACGGGTGCAATGAATCGAGGGTAGCGAGGATTGCACTAGGTGTCAAACGAGTACAAAATGTGAGCGAAGGCATGAGCAAACATTTATACGCAAAACATGCAAACCGTAACGCGGTGCGTGCGAGCTAGCTAGTGCTAGGCTGGCATCGAGGTTCGGGCTAGTCCCGAAGGGTAGGCTGACACAGTCAGCGGTGCGTGGTTTGGTGAAAAAGTGCGCGCAAAGTTGGCGAAGGCCCCGGCTGCTGCTGTACGCGATGTTGCAGGATGCGCTAAGGAATGTCACAAAATTGACAACCTCCCTCGCGCCACAATTTCGTTCGCTAGCACCCATCTCGCTTCGCATTTGGAACAGGCAGCATATTATTCTGGTTCTTGAGCTTGGGTTGTAGCTTTACGGTCGCGAAAATTACGGGCACGTTGCAGCCTGACCTTGACAGCCCAATTTAGAAACCTGGAACTACGTTAGACGCCTAGCGTCGTTCTGTTGTCGCCGTAATGTGTTGAGGAAGCCCGTAGTAGGAAGGCAGGAAAAGGTTGTTCGATTCTTGCGGGCAAGGGGCTAAACGCGGGTACTTGACACCGTTGCACTGTGGATCAACATAACCACAGTTCCTTAGCAAAACAAGCGGTAAACCATCGTCAGTCGCAGCAATTCCTGTTTCGCTATCGTCTCCTGCTGGTAAATCAAGCCTGCCAAACAAAAGGAGCAGAGGAGAGGCTTTTGTACGCGCCACAGTCGTTCTGGTCCTTTCTTATTGTATATGCAACGGTCTAACCTCAGCCTTTCTTCTTCTGTCTGCTGCCAACGGTGCTTGTTTAAAACACACGGTTGCTTAGCTTGCTGACATGGCCTAAATAGCGCACTGCTGACGTGTCACACTCCAGCTCTCGCCATGTCAGCAGCCAGCCGTCGCCGAAAGAGCATCAATGCGCTGGCGTCCCCCACTCGCGTGTCGACACGTCGGACAGCACGGACGGTCATTGACTTGGCGTGTGATGATACAGAAGACAGGGATGGGAGTCAGGAAAAGGAGAGGAGAAGATGGTGTCCGCGACAATTGCGAGAAAAATGGAAACCGGGCGAAAAAGGGTAACACTGAGAGGAAGCGGAAGGAACGGGGGAAGAGGATAGAAGGGAAGGAAAACGGTTGTCCAAGAACGGGCGTGGAGACAGGAGGGGAAGAGGTAGAGCACCGGGGAGAGGCGGGAGAAGGATGTTGGTAGGAGAACTGGAAAGGACAGTGACTCTGACCGGGACCACCAGGGTGACAGAGGCGGTCTGGGTGACGACCAGGGGGACCAGGTTGACCGGGTTGACCTGGTTGACCAGGAGGAAAACCAGGGTGATAATAACGACCGGGTTGACCGGATTGACCTGGTTGATCAGGGCGACCGGGGTGATCGGAATGAAAGTGACGACTTCGAAGCTACAGGTGTCCAGGGAGTCGAAGCGAAGCTATTGAGGTGGTAGACGATGACGTGGCACGAGGAGATGCTGACGTGGCACCCTTGGATCGTGTCCAGCCAGCAGACAGAACCAGGGATGACGTGGCAGCAGCGTCAGGGGTCATTGAATGGGCTCCGTCAAGCAAGGAGTACAAATACGCGAGGGAATAGAGCCCCCCTCTCGCTGCAGATTCGTGCTGGGATTAGAGGCTCCTCACCCTCCTCACAACAGTGCTGTAGAATCGCCTGGAGGCTCTGAGGAAAGAGCTCTAGGGACTTGTGAGGGTATAGGGAAGAGCGAACCACGGAGCAGTGGCTCTGAAGCAGGGCTGAGCAGTGCTTGCGGTGAGGAGAGGGGTGAAAGTAGAAGCTCAATGGAAGCGGAAGAGGAGGGAGAGGTGGGAGAGGAGAGAGAGGAGGGGAAGGAGGGGGAGAAGAGGGAGGAGGATGAGGAGGAGGAGGCGGGAGAGAAGGGGGGGAAGAAGGGGAAGGAAGGGGAGAAGGGGGAGAAGGAAGGGAAGAAGGGAGAAGGAAGGAAGAAGGAGAAGGATGGTGATGTGAGAGGAGGTCGTGGCAGGCTTCATGAACATGAGGAGGTGAAAGATGGTGGTCCGGAAGGTGTCTGTAGGCTTAGTGAAGATGCTTGTATGGGGGATGGACGTAAAAAGGATGGGGCGAAGGGGAACCAGGTGGAGAGGGGAGGAGGTGTGGAGGGTGGTGGTCACGAGAGGCGTGGAGATGAGGGGGGTGGAAAGGAAGGGGGTGGAAAGGAGGGGGGTGGTGGCAAGCGGGGTGGTGGTGGTGTGGATGGTGGTGGTGTGGATGGTGGTGTTGGCGATGGGTGTAAGGACAGCTGGGCAGCTGATTCTGCTGCAGCAGGAGGGAGAGATGGAAAAGGGGAAGATGAGGACAGGGGAGACATGGAGGGGGGAGATGGGAATGGGGGAGAGAAAAGGGGCGATGGGAAGGCGGGAGATGAAGGGAGGAGGAATGGGAAGGGTGGTAAGGAGGGGCCACACGCTGCAGTGCATGAGGCAGGAACCACCACCCAGCAGCACTGTGCTCTTATCGAGCCTGCTAGTAATGAGAATGCTCTTCTCGACCCATCGACCAGTCAGCAACAAGGCACTGTTGCAGTGTCATCAGCGGTTGTGACTTGCAAAAAGGGTGCTATCCCACCATCAGCTCTTGAGACGTCTGAGAAGGGTGCTATCGTGGTGGCATCGTCCCCTGAAGGCCAGCATGCCACCTGTCACCCGCCTTCCCCCCGCCCGTTCGTCTTCACCAAGGACCAGTGCCAGCAGTGGCTGGACAGGTGAGGGCTGCACACGTGAGGGCTGCACACGTGAGGGCTGCACACGTGAGGGCTGCACACACGTGAGGGCACTGCAGCTAAGGTGCTTAGCCAACAGTACGGATCTCTTCCATCCCATGCCATCCCATGCCATCCCATGCCATCCCATGCCATCCCATGCCATCCCATGCCATCCCATGCCATCCCATGCCATCCCATGCCATCCCAATCCCATGCCATGCCATCCCATCCCATCCCATCCATCCCATCCCATCCCATCCCATCCCATCCCATCCCATCCCATTCCCATCCCATCCCATCCCATTCATAAAGCGCACCGCGCCTTGCTTGAGCCACCCACGTCTTCCCCACCGGCTTGTGCACCCCTGTGCTCTGCTCTGCTCCGCCTTGGCAGGGTTGGAGGGCGAAGTGACTTCTGAGTCGACTCAAAAGTCATCCCACCCCATCCCATCCCAATCATTAGAGCTCACCATGCCTTCCACTACCCGTGTCCCCCACCGGCTTGTGCACCCCTGTGCTCTGCTCTGCTCCGCCTTGGCAGGGGTTGAAAGGGCGAACGTTCACGTACCCCACCAGGTATGTATGCTGTGGTGTGGACAGTGATACAATGTGGGTGGGGTGGGTGGGGTGGGTGGGGTACGGTGCACAGTGGTACAGTCTAGGTATGTTGTCTCAAAGGTGTGGTGTGGTGTGACACGACACAGTGTGGTGCACATGTGTACTACAGTGGTACTATCTAGGTATAATGTGCGTGGTGTGTGAATGTGCGGTGCAGTTCGGTGCAAAGTGGTTCTGTCCGTGCATGCATACTTGCGACGGCAGGGCCGGTGGGTTGAGTGAAGTCAATCCTTCTACATCGCACCATCAGGCCCCTCCCACTCCCCTCTCTTCCTCAATCTATTGAACTACTTGTTTTATCTGTGATTCGTGAAAGCGTGCAGGCAGCAGCTGGGTGCGGTGGAGGTGAATGAAGCGTACCTGCAGCGGCTGGAGGCAACGGAATAAGTGGAGCCAAACCCTCTTCTCCCTGCTGTTACTCCCCTCATTGTCCCTTCCCTCCCTCCCACCCTCCTGTGCAGGCAGCAGCTGGGTGCGGTGGAGGTGAAGGCAGAGGGCTTGCAACGGCTGGGGCGACGGAGTGGAGTGAAGTGAAGTCGGTCTGACCTTTTTCGTCCCTCCATCCCTCTCGTGCCTTCCATCCCTCCTCACCCTTGTCGACCCCCCTATCCGTGCAGGCAGCAGCTGGGTGCGGTGGAGGTGAAGGCAGCGGACTTGCAGCGGCTGCTGCCTGGGGAGTGTTTGAATGACACGGTCATCGACTTTTATGTCAAGTAGGTGTGTCATTGATTTGAGTTCAAGTGTGTGTGCTTTCGGCAGGTTCCCTCCCTGTTTCAGTAAGTAGGTAGGCTTGCACGTCTCAGTCTCAAATATGGTGTGCACGGGAGTTCTTTCGCGAGCCCATGGAGAAACTGGTTACAGCAATGTTCAAAATCAGTCACACCTGTCCCCACGTGTCAAATCATTAGGCTCTTGAACGTTTGTTGAGATCCAGTTATTGCACGTCGCCATGTGCCCTTGTCCAGGTTCATTGAACAGACGATGCTGCAGGAGCCACAGCGGTCGCGGTTCCATTTCTTCAGCACTTTTTTCTCCACCTCGCTCTCCCGCCCAGGAGCGATTTGTAAGTGGTGTGTTGTGCAGTCTGGTGGTGTGTTGTGCAGTCTGGTGGTGTGTTGTGCAGTCTGGTGGTGTGTTGTGCAGTCTGGTGGTGTGTTGTGCAGTCTGGTGGTGTGTTGTGCGTCTGGTGGTGTGTTGTGCAGTCTGGTGGTGTGTTGTGCGGTCTGGTGGTGTGTTGTGCGGTCTGGTGGTGTGTTTGTGCAGTCTGTGGTGTGTTGTGCGGTCTGGTGGTGTGTTGTGCAGTCTGGTGGTGTGTTGTGCGGTCTGGTGGTGTGTTGTGCGGTCTGGTGGTGTGTTGTGCGGTCTGGTGGTTGTGTGCGGTCTGGTGGTGTGTTGTGCGGTCTGGTGGTGTGTTGTGCGGTCTGGTGGGTGTGTTGTGCGGTCTGGTGGTGTGTTGTGCGGTCTGGTGGTGTGTTGTGCGGTCTGGTGGTGTGTTGTGCGGTCTGGTGGTGTGTTGTGCGGTCTGGTGGTGTGTTGTGCGGTCTGGTGGTGTGTTGTGCGGTCTGGTGGTGTGTTGTGCAGTCTGGTGGTGTGTTGTGCAGTCTGGTGGTGTGTTGTGCGGTGCAGTGCTCCAGGGGAGCCGCATCGGTCGCGACTCCACTTCTTCAGCACCTTCTTCTCCACCTCGCTTTTCCATGCCCAGGAGCGATTCGTCGTGAGTGTCCCTCTGCTGTGCTGTTGTGGGCAGTGCTGTGCTCTACTCTGCTGTGCGGTGCTGTGCTCCAGCGGAGCCAGCCACAGTGGTCTCAGTTTTTTTTAATCTCTTCAGCACTTTCTTCTCCACCTCGCTTTTCAGCGCCCAAGAGCGATTCGTGAGTGCCCCTCCTGCTGTGTGGCTTCTCTTGGTGCTATGGGTTGCTGTGCTGTTTTGTGCTGTTCTCTCCTGTCCCTGCCATGCCGTGCCGTTGCTTGCAGTGTGGTGTGGTGCAGTGCAGTGCGGTGCTGTGTTGTGCTGTGGAGTTCCCCACGCCCCCATCCCTCTCCCTTCCCCCTTACGCCAGAAGCTGACTAAGGAGCCGCACGATTTGCACCATTTCCCCGCTCGCCAACCTTCCCCCCACCCCTCCCCTCTCCCCACTTTACCCCCCGCCAGAAGCTGACTCAGGACCCACACGAGCTGATGCGCCTGGCAAGGTGCCCTTCCGCCCGCCCTTCAACCAACCCCCCCCGCCCCCCCCCCCTCCTCCCCCCCCCCCCCCCGTGCTCTCCCCATCCCACCCCTCCCCTCTCCCCACTTTACCCCTCGCCAGAAGCTGACTCAGGACCCGCACGAGCTGATGCGCCTGACAAGGTGGACGAGGGGCACGGACATATTCTCAAAGGATTTCATCGTCATCCCCTTCCACGAAGAGTACGCCCCCCTGTTGCTCTCGCCATCTTTGGCCTCTCTGCCCGCGTCTGCCCGTCTCTGCCTGCCTTAGCCCATCCCTTCCCCTCTCTTGTCGTTGTCGGCAAGGACGTGAGGAAGGCGCACCTCTCTACCCCCATGCCCTTACGCACGCCCGCTCCCCACTTGATCCCCAATAACCTTTCAATCCCTCAGGTTTCGCAGCCATTGGAGCCTGGCTATCATATGCTTTCTCAGCAAGGATGTGAGGAAGACCACACGAAAGGCTCCAGGAGAAAGCAGCAAGGGGCCAGGTGAAAACAACAAGGGCTCAGGAGATAACGGCAAAGAGCCAGGCGGTTCAGGAGAAAACAGCAGAGAAACGCGAGGAGCGGCTAGGCTAAGGGAAGAGGGCACGGGGGGCAATAGGAAGGGGAGGGGCAATGGGGGGAAGAGGGGGGAGAGGGGCAAAGGGGCATCGGGGGTAATGGGAGTGTGGGGAGGGGGAGGGGGAAGGTGGGCGCTTTCCAGAAGATTCCTAAAGGAAGGAGGGCGAATCTGAAGAGAAGCAGGGCGGACATGAAAGGAAGGGGGGTGAGTATGCAAGGAAGAGGGTGGCTTGGGCAAAGCAGGGAAGTGAGAGCATTATTGGAAGGTGGGAGAAGGAGTGCGGCTAGTGAGAGAGGTGCTGACGTGGCAGAGGAGGGTCAGGAGGGTGGCAATAAGGGCGATGGGAGGGGAGAGGCAGCACTGCTGGCAGAGTGAGGAGGCTTGCTGACGTGGCAGAAGTTGCAGTGTCGGTGGAGGGAGGAGAGGAGGAGGAGGAGGAGGAGGGGAGGAGGAGGAGGAGGAGAGGAGGAGGAGGAGGAGGAGGAGGAGGAGGAGGAGGAGGAGGAGGAGGAGGAGGAGGAAGGGAAGGGCGAAGGTGGAAGGGAGGGGTTTGGGAGGAGGAGGGGTCTGGGAAGGAGAGGCGAGGGGAGGGAGGGAAAAGTGCGAGAGTTGCGAGTGTGAGCCAGTTGGTCAACCACCATCCTGGTGATTCTGACAGGGGAAGTCAAGAGAGAGTCACTACCAGGGGTACCAAGCAGTTTGCTGGTAATAGTCCTCACCGTGCGAGGGTGTTGAACCAGGATGTTAATATTCCTGGTGAGAGGGTGTTGAGTGTGCAGGGCGGTGATCTTTTGAGACGTCTCAAAACTCGTCACCGTGAGAGGGTGTTGAGCCAGGATGTGGAACCAGGTGTGAATGGTTCCGGTGAGAGGGTGTTGAGTGTGCAGGGCGGTGATTCCCAGTCCCAAGGTGCGTGGTGGCAGGTCGTTTGTGAAAACGCAGGCGGTTGGATGCGGTTGATAGGGATGGTGCGATGCGTGATGGGTCCGGGGATAGCGCAGTGGGCTTGGGCGGCATGGGTGGCGTGGGTGGTGTGGGTGGTGTGGGTGGTGTGGGTGGTGTGGGTGGTGTGGGTGGTGTGGTGGTATAGGTGATGGTATGGTGTGGGGTGTGAGGAAGCAGCTGCAAACACGCAGCAGGGCGAGGGGTAAGGCGAGAGGAGGAGCGCCAAGGGAGGATGAGGGGGAGAAGGAGAAGGAGGAGGGGGAGAAGGAGGAGGAGGGGGAGAAGGAGAAGGAGGAGGGAGAAGGAGGAGGGGGGGAAGGAGGAGGAGGGGAGAAGGAGAAGGAGGAGGGGGAGAAGGAGGAGGAGGGGGAGAAGGAGGAGGAGGAGGAGGAGGAGGAGGAGGAGGAGGAGTGGGAGAAGGAGGAGGAGGGGGGAGAAGGAGGAGGAGGAGGAGAAGGAGGAGAAGGAGGGGATTGGTGGTGGTGCAAAGGGGGTGATAGACGTTGGTGGGAGCAGAGGAGTGGAAAGGCGTGGAGGGGCTGATGATAGTGTGGCGGGTCGAGAGGGCGGAGGAGGAGAGAGTGGAGGAGGGGGTGGAGGAGGGGGTGGAGGAGAGAGTGGAGGAGAGGGTGGAGGAGAGGGTGGAGGAGGGGAAATGGGGGATGTGGAAGGGAGGTGTGCAGGGGTGGTTAGTGTGGTTGGAGAAGGGTGTGCGAAGGAGGGGGGAGTGAAGGAGGAAGGTAATGAGGAAAGGGAGGAAGCGGAGGAGGGACGGAAGGAAAGAGGAGAGAAGGAGGAGGGAAGGAGGGAAGAAAGGGGGAGGAAGGAGGGAGGGAAGGAGGGAGGGAAGGGGGAAACAAGGGAGGGAGGGAAGGAGGGAGGGAAGGAGGGAGGGAAGGAGGGAGGGTTGCAGGAGCATGTGGGGGGGGAATTAGAAGTGAGGGTGGGGGGATGGTAAAGGAAGGCATGAGGCTTGAGCGGGACGATGTGAGGGGAGTGTGGAGGCTTGGTGGTGGCGAGAAAGAGGCAAGAAAGAGTTTGGATAGGCAAGTGGAAGGAGGCAAAGCCGGGGAGGAGAGGGGAGTGGTAGGAGGGGAGGGTGGTGGGGAGGGAGAGGGTTTAAAGATGAAGCGAGAGAGAGGAGGGGGTTGCTGGAGAGAAGGAAGTCTAGGAGAGGAAGGAGGTGCAGGAACGGAGGAAGCTGTAGGAGAGGAGGGAGAAGGTACTGGAGTGGACAAAGGCTGCAGTTCTAAAGAGGAAACTATTGGAGGGGCGGACAGCAAAGAAGGGGGGCGAAGGGGGGAACGAGGGGAAATGATTACAAGGGATGATTGGAAGAAAGGGGTAGAAGGGAGGGAGGGGAGTGGGTGGGGGGGAGGAGGTTGGGATGGTTGAAGGAGAGGTAAGGAGTGGCGATGGGGAAGATCAAGTCCAGGGAGTTGTGGTTGTAGAGGAGGGGAGAGGAGAGGGGAAAGGGGAAGTGGGAGTGTTGGGGGATGAGGAGGAGGAAGGAGAGAAGGAGGAATTGGAGGGGGGAAAGGAGGGGGGAGAGGAAGGGGGAGGAGGGGCGAGAGAGGAGCGGAGAGAGGAAGGGGGGGGAGAGGCGAGAGAGGAGGGGAGAGAGAAGAGGAGAGAGGAGGGACGAGAGGAGGGGAGAGAGGAGGGGCTAGAGGAAGGGAGTGAGGTGAAATATGGAAAAGAGGAGGAGGAATCCGAGAAGATGGAAGGGAATGAGGAAGGTGGAGAGGAAGAAAATGTGGGGGTTAAGGAGGAAGAGAATGAGGTGATGAAATTGGTGAGGGTTGAGGAGAGAAAAGAGGAGAGGAAAGAGGAGATGGAAGAGGAGAGAAAAGTGGAAGGTGGAGAGAAAGAGAAAGTGTGGGAGAAAGAGGAAGAGAAAGAGGAGAGAGAGGAAAGGGGAGAGGAAAGGGGAGAGGAAAGGGGAGAGGAAAGGGGAGAGGAAAGGGGAGAGGAAAGGGGAGAGGAAAGGGGAGAGGAAAGGGGAGAGGAAAGGGGGAGAGGAAAGGGAGAGAAAGGGGAGAGAAGGGAGAGGAAAGGGGAGATGACAGAAGAGGGGAAAGGGACAGGGAAGAAGAGAAGGAAGAGGAGGTGAAAGAGGAGAGGGAAGACGAGAGGAAAGAGGAGAGGAAAGAGGAGAGGAAAGAGGAAAGGAAAGAGGAGAGGAAAGAGGAGAGGAAAGAGGAGAGGAAAGAGGAGACGAAAGAGAGGAAAGAGGAGACGAAGAAGAGATGAAAGAGGAGAGCAAAGAAGAATTAAAGAGGAAAGGAAAGAGGAAAGGGAAGCAGAGAGGGAAGAGGAGATGAAAGAGGTGAAAGGGTGGAGGAAAAAGAGAGCAAAAGAAGAGGGCAAAGAGGAGAGGAAAGAGGAGAGCAAAGAGGAGAGGAAAGAGGAGAGGAAAGGGGAGGAGGAAAGGGGAGAGGAAAGGGGAGAGGAAAGGGGAGATGACAGAAGAGGGGAAAGGGGACAGGGAAGAAGAGAAGGAAGAGGAGGTGAAAGAGGAGAGGGAAGACGAGAGGAAAGAGGAGAGGAAAGAGGGAAGAGGAAGAAGAGGAAGGAAAGAGGAGAGGAAAGAGGAGAGGAAAGAGGAGAGGAGGAAAGAGGAGAGGAAAGAGGAGAAGAATGAGAGGAAAGAGGAGAAGAAAGAAGAGATGAAAGAGGAGAGGAAAGAAGAAATTAAAGAGGAAAGGAAAGAGGAAAGGGAAGCAGAGAGGGAAGAGGAGATGGAAGAGGTGAAAGGGTGGAGGAAAAAGAGAGCAAAGAAGAGAGCAAAGAGGAGAGAAAGAGGAGAGCCAAGAGGAGAGCAAAGAGGAGAGGAAAGAGGAGAGCAAAGAGGAGAGGAAAGAGGAGAGCAAAGAGGAGAACAAAGAGGAGAGGAGAGAGGTAGAGCAAAATGGAGAGGAGAGAGGAGAGCAAAGAGGAGAGGAGAGAGGAGAGCGGGGTCGAAGAGGGGGCAATCTTGGCTAGAATGTGGTCAATCATGAAGGGACGGCTGTAGCAGATGCTGCTGCTGTACCTCCAATCGCTGTTGTAGCAACAATGCTGTCTCCATTGGAACAAGCTCTGTCTGCTACAACTGCTCCTGCTGCAGTCTCGCCTGCCACAGCTACTCCAGCTATAGCTTCACCTGCTGCTACTGCTCCTGCTCCTGCTACAGCTGCACCTGCTACAGATGCACCTGCTACAGCTGCACCTTGCTACAGCTGCACCTGCTACAGTCGCTCCTGCTACAGTTGCACCTGCTACAGTCGCACCTGCTACAACTGCCCCTTTATAGCTGTGCCTTTTTCAGTCGCAGCTGCTACAACCTCCTGTGCTACAGCTGTTACAACTGCAGCAGGTACAGGTGCAGCTGGAAACGGCATGTATGCTATGCAGCTGCTGATGGGAGCAGCACGGAATGGCCCTCAGGCTGTGAGCAAGGCAGGTGCACGTGCACACATTGTTGAGATCGCTCATGAGGGCACTAAGGAGGGGACTCGTGAGGGCAGTCGCGAAATGACTCGTGAGGGCGTTGGTGCTGCTTCTATTGCTGTGGTTCTTTGGGAGAAGTGTGAAGTGGGGCACGGCAGTGAGGGCGGAAAGTCGGTGGTGTTTGAGTCCAGCCCAGAGGTGTGTAGAGAGGTGGGGAGTGGTGCGAATGGAGTGGTCCTGGGGAGATAAGGAAGAGGAGATGGGGGATGGGAAAGATGGGAAGGGTGGGCAAGAAGCGAGGGGGATTGAGGAAGGAGGGAATAAGGAAGGGGAACAAGATGGAAGGTCTGGGAAAGAGAGAGAAGGCGAGGAGGGGCAGGTTGAACTGGGGGAGGCGGTATCTGATATTAGTGAGGGTCTTGGGGGTGCTTATATGGGGTATGGGGAGGGAGATGAGGGGACGTGTGAGGGGAAAAGGGCAGAGGATGAGAGAGAGGAAGCTGGAGTAGTGGTTTATGTGAGTCCAGGGAAAGAGGAAGGAGAGGAGGGAGAAGATGAGATATTGGAGGGAGAGGAAGAGGGGAAGGAGGGGGAGGAGGGAGAGGAGGGAGAGGAGGGAGAGGAAGGAGAGGAGGAGGGAGAGGAGGGAGAGGAAGGGGAGGAGGAGGGAGAGGAGGGAGAGGAAGGAGAAGAGGAGGGGGAGGAGGGAGAGGAAGGAGAGGAAGGAGAGGAGGGAGAGGAGGGAGAGGAGGAAGAGGAGGAAGAGGTAGGGAGGAGGGAGAGGAAGAATCAGAGGAGGGAGAAGAGGATGGAGAGAGGGATGGAGGGGAAGAGATAGAAGATATCCAGGAGGAGGGGGGGGAGGAAGTGGGGGAGGAAGGCGAGGAGGAAAATCTGGAGAAGGAGGCTGAAGAGGATGGTTCAGGTGGTGGGCAAGTGAGGGAAATCAAGAGCTGGATTCCTGGATTGGATAATTCTGGTGCTGCTGGTGATGATGATGGTGATGCTGTTGATGCTGATGGTGATGATGATGTGAAGGAAATAGGTTTCAAAACATTTCGGGGAGGCAGGGGCAGCGCACGCGGCAGGGGGCGGGCGGGAACGGCAGCGCAAACGAGACGCGGAGGAAGGAGGGGGGTTTCAGGTGCGGGGCAAAGGGAAGGGAAAGCAACAGAGGGGCACAAGGGGAGGGCAGATGAAGTGGAGTATAGAGGAGGAGGAAGAGGAGGAGGAAGATGAGGAGGGGGGGTCACGTGAAGGGGGGGTTGGAGCTGGTGACGGGGCCAAACGGAACGCGGGAGGCCACCATTCTGTACCTTGACTCGCTTCCAGAAAGCTCCAAGTCGCCTGCCATCTACAGCGCAATCAAGTTGTGAGTTTCATATACACGAATTAAAATATATATGTATATCTTTATGTATGTATATATATACACATATATATACATACATATATATATACATAAGAAATATATATGTATGTATAGGTATATACTATCTTCTGTGCTCTTGCTCCTGGTCTGCCTTTCCATCTGCCTTCCCATCTGTGCATGCCTTCACCAGATACATGAGGGCGAGATCGTTTTTTTCTTCTGTTTTATTCAATTCGATCCTTGTGTACACGAAGGAAGTGATGGTACATCTGTTCTGAGTGAGGCGAGGAGATGGTACGTACATCTGTTCTGTTGGCTTCTTCATGTACCATCTCTCCTTTCCCCTGCATCTCTTTCATTCCCCGTCCCCCCCCCCAGTTACCTGCAGGCTGAGTGGATGAAGAGGAGCAAGGAGCCGTTGGATCCCAAGAAGCCGCTGCAATCTGGGCCGTTCAGCAAAGTGCGCGGGAAGAAAGTCAAGGTGGGTCGCTCCTGCTTCACTCGTTGCTTCTGGGAATCTCCTGAAGCACAGCCATGTGTGCACGCAGCTATGTGCTTGCAGCAGCAGGTGCATGCGTCTACTGCTCTCCTCATGGATTGCAGGGTTTTGAGACGTCACTGAAAACTCGATTGCAGGGTCGCCCTCACCTCACTGAACCCATCCATCTCCCACACCACACTCACTCCCTCGTGTAGAGAGTGATTGTTTTAGAAGTTTCAAATTTCACTCTTTACACATTGCTGGGTCGCCCTCACTGAACCCATCCATCTCCCACACCACACTCACTCCCTTGCGCTGCTCGCCTCGCCTTGCTCCCTTCTCTCTGCTCTGCACCCAATTTCTCTCTGCTCAGGTACCAGTGCAGGACAACGACTATGACTGCAACTGAGTTGACTCCTCTCACCGTGCTTCCCTCGGCCTCCTCCCTTCTCTCTTCTCTGCTCCTTATTTCTCTGTCCAGGTGCCAGCACAGGACAACGACTATGACTGCGGTTGTTTCATCCTCTGCTACATTCAGAAGTTTGCTCAGATGGCTGCTGCTCTCCACGCTCTGCTGATGGCGTCGCAGATAAGGTGGGCCATCTCCAACCGTCACAAACCCTCTGAAACCGTCACAAACCGTCTTAAACCGTCACAGACCGTCTTAAACCGTCACAGACCGTCTTATACCGTCACAAACCGTCTTGTACTGTCACTACCCTCTTAAAACGTCACAGACCATCTGTACCGTCACAGACCGTCTTAAACCGTCACAGACTGTCTTATACCGTCACAGACTGTCTTATACCATCACAGACCGTCTTATACCGTCGCAGACCGTCTTATACCGTCGCAGACCGTCTTATACCGTTACAAACCATCCCTTCAGCCTCTCTGAGTCCAGCTGGCATGCATCCTTCCTTCCCCCGTACCCCCTTTTTCCCCTCCCCTCCCGCCACCAGCTGAGCAACGACTGGTTCGAGGCGTGTGAAGCATCCTCTCTGCGCCGACGGCTCTTCTCCATCGTGGCCGGCATGCTGCTGCCTCAACATCCCCCGCCGCAACCCCTCTCACCCCCTTCTCAACCACTCTCAACCCCTTCTCAACCATCGCACCACCTTCTGAACCGATCTCCCTTCCTTCACCTGCCTCGCCGGCCCTGCCCATCTCTCTGCCTCCACTGCACTCCGTTCCGTCTCCTGCTCTTCCACCTGCTATTTGTGCCGTTGCGGCTAGTGCACTGAAACCCACCACAGCAGCAGCGGCACGAGCAGCAAACAGCCGCAGCAGCGGAAGCAGCAGCAGCTGGAGCAACAGCAGCAGCAGCAGCAGCAGCAGCAGAAGAAGAACAAGAAGCAACAGCGGCTGGAACAGCAGAGAAAGAAGCAGAAGCAGAGCAAACAGCAACAGCAACAGCAGCAAAAGAATCATCAGCGGGAGCAGCAGGGAAGGAAGCAGCAGCAGCAGGTGCAGCCATCAAGGCGAAGAGGGGCAGAGGCAGACCGCGCAAGCAAGTGGAGGAGGACACAGTCAGCCCCGTTGATGCACTTTTTGCTGATGTGTGCACTATTGAGTCTACTCAAAAGGTGACTGTTGAGTCAACTCAAAAGCAAGTGGAGGAGGACGCAGTTAGCCCTGCTGATGCACATTCCGCTGATGTGGGTACAGCTGGTGCAGGTGTTACTGCCGCATCTGATGCTGATGATGCTGGTGCCAACTGGATGGCTCGTCCAGAGTCCATACAAGAAGCAGATGTGGGTGCAGCTGGTGAAGGTACAGCTGGTGAAGGTACATCTGGTGAAGGTACAGCCGGTGCCGAGGCTGGGACTGAGGCTGGGACTGAGGCTGGGACTGAGGCTGGGACTGACGCTGCGGCTGAGACTGAGGCTAGGGCCAAGGCTGAGGCTGGGGCCGAGGCAGTGGCTGGGGCCACTGGCGGTACAGTTGGGCTGGATGCTGCGTGCAGAGAGCAGTATGCTGCTCGCATGGCAGGGAATATGGAGCAAGTTGACACCCAAGGTGACAATCAAGGCGACACCCAATTTGACACCCGAAATGGCACCAGAGGTGGCACTGAAGGCGACACCCAAGGCGGCAGCAGAGAGAGCGGTGAAGCGCTGGTGGTGTTTGGCAAGGAGCCGTGGCCTGCTTGGCCCTGGCGTGCTTCTGAGCCCGTGGGTCACACTAGGCTCTCGTCCCTCTGGCCATGGCGTGCCTCTGAGCTTTCTACATGCCACGGGACTCACTCCCTGCTGCGCTGGCCTGTCATGTCTGTAGATTCTGGTGGTGGTGCCTGTGATGGTGCTGCTGCTAGTGGTGGAGGTGCTTATGTTTGTGCTGCTGGTGGTGATGGTGACTATGATGGTCGTGCTTTTGCGCCGCCGGATGTGCAAGAATCGGCGCCAGTGCTGGTTGCAGTCGTTTGGCAACCGGTGGACGACACGAGTCAACATCCACATGAAAGGAGTGCTGGCGGGGAGGGTGTTACACAACCTTTCAGGAGCGTCAAAGGTCAACATCCACATGAAAGAGTGCAGGCGGGGAGAGTGTGACACAGCCAGGTGTAGGGAGGGATGCTGATGGGTTGGCAGGAGTTGCGGTGGAGGGGAAAGAGCGAGATGGAGCGGAAGGGGCTGAGATAGCTGGCGCGGAAAGGGATGGGACAGAAGCGGTAAAGGAGGGGGAGGAAGAAGAGTTGGTGAGGGGAAGAGCACGAGGGGGGACGAAGCGGAAGCGAGTGAAACGCAGTGCTGGGTGGAGTGGGAGGAAGAGGGTTAGGAGGGCGGTGAAGGGGCCTGAGGGTGATGGGAAGAGGAAGCAGGCTGAGGAGGAGGAGAGGAGAGAGGACGAGGGGGAGGAAAGGAGAGAGGAGGATGGAGAGGAGAGGAGGAGAGAGGAGGAGAGGGGAATGAAAGTGCGTGTGGTAGGAGGTATGGGAGAGGGAGAGGAGGGAGGGGAGGGAGGAGAGCGGAGGGAGAGGGACAGGGATGGGAGGGGAAGGTGGGTGCTGATAAGGCTTGCAGCATCGGAAGAGGTGATTCGAGTGGGGAGGGGGGTAGAGGACGAGGACAGAGAGGTGGATATTGGTGGGATGGGGGATGAAGATGAGGAGGGGCTGGGAGGGGCTGGGAGCGAGGGAGAGGAGGGGCATGGAGTGGGTGTAGAGAGATGTTTGGAGGGAGGTGTGGAGGGAGGCGCAGGGGTGGCGAGAGGCATTACAGCAGAGGAGATTGAAGCAGCAGCAGGAGCAGCAGTGGCAGCAGCGGCGGCGGCGGCAGCAGTGGTTTCCATGGGAGAGTTTGTGAAGCAAGCACGTGCTGCTGCTGCTGCTGCCGCCGCCGCCGCCGCCGCCGCCGCTGCCGCTGCTGCTGTTTCTCCTGCTGCTGCTGCTGCTGCTGCCGCTGCCACTGGTGTGAAGGAGGAGAGGCAGCAGGAAGAGAAAGCAGCAGCAGAAACGAGAGGGGCAGGGGCACTGCCTTGGACTGGCATGGGAGTCACTGTCAGGAATCCAAATCTGAGACGTTTCCGAAGCTCGAATCAGGCTCGGAACCGGACCAGCTGCTCAGCTTCGGCTCTGGCGAAGCTGAGTTGGATCGGCTGGTGAAGTTTGGGTTTCCGAGAGCGCCACAGGGACAGCAACGGCGGCTGGCGGGATTTGCTGATCTGTTGAAGTGGAATGGAGGGAGCGGTGGTGCGGAGGCGATGGAGGAAGGTAGAGGGGTTAGGTGCGGTGCGGAGGAGGGGGTGTGGCGGCAGTGGGTTGAGAGGTGGAAGGAGGGGAGAGGGGATGGGAGCAGCAGAGCGGGGGAGAGGATGGTTGGGACGAGGGTGGGAGGAGAAGGGATGGGAGGAGAAGAGGTGGGGGGAGAGCGGGTGGGAGGAGACGAGGCAGAAGGAGCAGAGACAGGAGGGTTGGTAGAGGCAGGAGGGGTAGAGGCAGGAGGGGTAGAGGCAGGAGGGGTAGAGGCAGGAGGGGTAGAGGCAGGAGGGGTAGAGGCAGGAGGGGTAGAGGCAGGAGGGGTAGAGGCAGGAGGGGTAGAGGCAGGAGGGGTAGAGGCAGGAGGGGTAGAGGCAGGAGGGGTAGAGGCAGGAGGGGTAGAGGCAGGAGGGGTAGAGGCAGGAGGGGTAGAGGCAGGAGGGGTAGAGGCAGGAGGGGTAGAGGCAGGAGGGGTAGAGGCAGGAGGGGTAGAGGCAGGAGGGGTAGAGGCAGGAGGGGTAGAGGCAGGAGGGGTAGAGGCAGGAGGGGTAGAGGCAGGAGGGGTAGAGGCAGGCAGAGTAGCGGTGAGAGTTGCGAGGAGAGATTCTGAAGGAGAGGGGAGATTTACAAAGAAGGGAGGGGAGGAGGTGGAACAGGAGGAGGGTGATGATATGAAGAGTGAAGAGGAAGGAAGTAGTGAGGACAGGAGTAAGATGGAAGATGAGGGTTTCATGGAGGGGGGTGAAATATCTCCTGGTTGGAAAAGGGAGGCTGAAATCAATCCTGTGAAGGAGCAAGGCTGTGAAGGCAGGCTTGAGGGTGGGCGTGGGGATGGGGATGGGGATGGGGGTGGGCATATGATTGGCTACGAGATTGGGTATGGTATTGGGCGTGAGATTGGGTATGAGATAGGGTATGGGATAGGGTATGGGATAGGGCACGAGGTGAGGAGTTTGGGTGAGGGAGAGGAGGCGGAAGAGGTGGAGAGGAGGGGGGAAGAGGTGGAGCGGAAGGGGGAAGAGGTGGAGCGGAAGGGGGAAGAGGTGGAGCGGAAGGGGGAAGAGGTGGAGCGGAAGGGGGAAGAGGTGGAGCGGAAGGGGGAAGAGGTGGAGCGGAAGGGGGAAGAGGTGGAGCGGAAGGGGGAAGAGGTGGAGCGGAAGGGGGAAGAGGTGGAGCGGAAGGGGGAAGAGGTGGAGCGGAAGGGGAAGAGGTGGAGCGGAAGGGGGAAGAGGTGGAGAGGGGAGGGAGCGGGATAGATAACCGGGCTTCACATGGGCGTGAGATGGAGGGGAGAGAGAGAGAAGAGGTGGAGAAGCAAGATGGGGAGGGGGAGTCAGAAGAGGGTAACAGGAAGGAAGAAGAGCAGGAGAAGGAAGCCGAGGAGAGTAAGAAAGTATGTTTTTGAGAATTCTCAAAAAACATACGCTAGAAGAGCAGGAGAAGGAAGCCGAGGAGAGTAAGAAGCCAGCAGAGCTGGGGAAGGAAGCCGAGGAGAGTAAGAAGCCAGCAGAGCTGGGGAAGGAGGCAGACAAGAGCAAGGGAGGTGAGGAGAGGAGGGTGGATGTTCGTGAGGGCGAGGAAGAGAAGGATGAGAGAGTAGAGGCTAGGGAAGAGGAGAGAGATGAAAGGGGAGAGGCAAGGGAAGAGGAGAAGGATGAGAGAGTAGAGGCTAGGGAAGAGGAGCAAGATGAGGAAGGAAGAGACGAAGAGGGGAGAGCTGCTGGTGGTGACAGGGACGGGGCTAGAGAGAGCAAGGAGTTGAATGAAGAGGGTGAGGAGGGCAAGGGGGTGGGTGAAGGGGGTGAGGAGGGCAAGGGGGTGGGTGAAGGGGGTGAGGAGGGCAAGGAGTTGGGTGAAGGGGGTGAGGAGGGCAAGGCGACGAACCCAGAAGGTGAGGAGGGAATGGAGTTGAATGAAGGGGGTGGGGGGCCAAGGAGGTGAATGACACGGGTGAGGAGAAAAGGGAGGTGAATCTGGAAAGTGGGGATGTGAATGAAGGGGGTGAGGATGGCAAGATTAAGAATGAAGGGGATGAGGAGGCGAAAGAAATTAACATGGTGGATATAGCGGGTGAGGAGGGAAAGGATTTTAATGAAGGGGGTCGGGGGGGCAAGGAGGTGAATGAAATGAGCATGGTGGATATAACAAGTGAGGAGGAGAATGGAGGAGAGGAACAGGGGGGTAAAGACTGTGCTGGTGGTGGGAGAAGAATATACGGGAAAGGGAGAGAGGTCGATTGGGGAGGGAGAGTGGAGAAGGAAGAAGAAGGTGAGGGGGGAAAAGGAGAAGAAATGCATGTTGTGGGGGAAGCAGAGGGGGAAGCAGAGGGGGAAGCAGAGGGGGAAGCAGAGGGGGAAGCAGAGGGGGAAGCAGAGGTGGAAGCAGCGGAGAGAGCAGCGGAGGAAGCAGCGGCGGAGAGAGCAGCGGAGGAAGCAGTGGAGGAAGCCGTGGAGGAAGCAGCGGAGGAAGCAGCAGAGGAAGCAGCGGAGAAAGCAGCGGAGGAAGCAGTGGAGGAAGCCGTGGAGGAAGCAGCGGAGGAAGCAGCGGAGGAAGCAGTGGAGGAAGCAGTGGAGGAAGCAGTGGAGGAAGCAGTGGATGAAGCAGCGGAGGAAGCAGCGGAGGAAGCAACGGAGGAAGTGAGAGCAGTGGAGGAAGAAGCAGTGGACGAGGAAGCAGTGGAGGAAGAAGCAGTGGACGAGGAAGCAGTGGAGGAAGCAGCAGAGGAAGCAGCGGAGGAAGCAGCGGAGGAAGCAGCGGAGGAAGCCGTGGAGGAAGCAGCAGAGGAAGCAGCGGAGGAAGCAGTGGAGGAAGCAGTGGAGGAAGCAGTGGAGGAAGCAGTGGAGGAAGCAGCGGAGGAAGCAGTGGAGGAAGCCGTGGAGGAAGCAGTGGAGGAAGCAGCGGAGGAAGCAGCGGAGGAAGCAGCGGAGGAAGCAGCGGAGGAAGCAGCGGAGGAAGCAGCGGAGGAAGCAGCGGAGGAAGCAGTGGGGGAAGCAGTGGGAAGGAAGAGAAGGCGGCTTGATCAGAGTGTTGCTATTAGTTCTGATTGTGCCGGCCCACCAATCAAACCTGGCGCTGTTGCTTATGGTTCGGAAACTAGTCCTGGTGACCATGCGCGTCATGACGGTAGGCTTGGTAGAAATAGGCTCGGTGAGAATAGGCTCGGTGAGGATAGGACCGTCAGCAGCAGCCTCGGTGTTACCAGCAGCAGGCCTGTGCGAAAGGCAAGTCTTGGCAGGTTCGGGTTTGGCCGAACCAGGCTGGAAGAGGGGCTCAGGTTCGGGGAGGAAATGTCGCCGGTGCTGGTGCTTCACAGGCTCGGTAGCCATCCCAAGGCTCCCCGAAGCAAGCGTCCTCGGAAGTCCAGGTTCGGAAAAGAACCACAACAAACCTGCGAAGAATTGGGTACCGTGAGGAGGTCCGGCAGAGGTTCAGGGGGTCGCAAGAGGAAACGAAATAATAATTCTGGAGAACCCACTTCAGGCAATCGTGGAAAAGCTGCTGCTGACAGTAAGGGAGAGGCTTATAATGAGACTGAATCAGGAAGAGGGATGAGTGAGGGAGTGCTGGCACATGCAGCAGGGAGAATGGAAGGCGGGGAGGCAACAGGGAGAGGGGAAGAGGGAGAGGCAAGAGATGGCAAGAGAGTGAATGTTGGAGAGATGGAAGCAGTGACAGGAGACGGTGTTCGATCCATATTTGTCAACGCCGGCATGGGCCCTCTTGATTCCAGTCCGCCTGCTGCCTTGGCCTTGGAACACCGCTCTCCCCTTCCTCTGCCCCTGTTGGTCCCTCCTTCTTCCCGCCCTCTGCCCCTGTCTGCCCCTTCTTCCCGCCCTCTGCCCCTGTCTGCCCCTTCTCCCCGCCCTCTGCCCCTGTCTGCCCCTTCTCCCCGCCCTCGCCTCCTGGTGCTCCCCTCACTCGTTTCTCTGCCACTGCCTCGTCCTCTTGCTCACCCCACTCCTCCTCCTCCTGCTCCTCCTCCTGCTGCTTCTACAGATGCTACTGCTATTCCTGCCAGTCCTCCTCCTCCTCCTGCTGCTGCTGCTCCTGCTGCTTCTACAGATGTTGCTATTCCTGCCTCTCCTTTACCGCACTCCTCTCCATCCCTCCACTCCCCTTCGGCCCTCCACCCTCCTCCATCCCCCCACCCTCCTCCATCCCCCCACCCTCCTCCATCCCCCCACCCCCCTCCATCACCCACTCCTATCGCCCCTAGCTCGCCTCCTCCTCCTTCTCCCTCTCCTCCTGTGCCCACTCCATCAATCGCTGCTCTAACGGAAAGACACACTGTGACTGAAGACGGGGTGACAGCAGTGAAGTCCGAACCTGTCCCTTCTGCCCCTCACTCTCCTGCTCTGCTGCCCACTCCATCAACCGCAACCGCTGCTGCTCCAAAGGAGGACAGTCACACTGTGACTGAAGAACGGGTGACAGCAGCGAAGGTCGAGCCACCTGCTGTGACTGCAGGCATTGAACCTGCCTCTGTGACTATAAGGGATGAGAAGGACGAGCCTGCTGGTGTGGCTGCAGTCCTTGAACCCTCTGCTGTGACTGTAAAGAGAGAGATCTCCGAGCCTGCCACTCTGACTGCTGACCGTGACCCCATCAATGTGACTGTAGAGGGTGAAAAGGATGAGCTGCCTGCTGTGACTGTACAGAGTGTGATGGATGAGGACAATGAGAAGGATGGAAAGGATGAGAGGGATGAACCTCCCGCGATGACTGCAGGCCTTGAACCGGGCGCTGTGACTGTAAGCGATGAGCTGCCTGCTGTGACTGAAAAGGATGAGCCAGCTGCCGTGACTGTAGAGAGTGTGATGGATGAGGCCAATGAGAAGGATGACAACGATATGAAGGATGAGAAGGATGAGCCGCTTGCAGTGACTGCAGCCCTTGAACCGTCCACTGTGACTGTAATGGATGAGAAGGACGAGCCTGCTGCTGTGACTGTAAGGGATGAGACGGATGAGCCGCCTGCAGTGCCTGCAAGCCTTGAGCCCGCCTCTGTGAATGTACAGGATGGGACGGACGGGCTGCCTGCTGTGACTGAAAAGGATGTGCCACCTGCTGTGACTGCAGAGGATGTGAAGGCTGAGACCATTGAAAAGGGCGAGCCTCCCGCTGTGTCTGCGGACTGTGATCCCACTGCTGTGAAGGATGAAAAGGATGAAAAGGATGAGAAGGATGAGAAGGATGAAAAGGATGAGAAGGATGAAAAGGATGAGAAGGATGAGAAGGATGAAAAGGATGAAAAGGATGAGAAGGATGAGAAGGATGAGTCACCTGCTGTGACGGATGAGCGCCCTCCTGTGGCTGTCAAGGATGTGCCACCTGCAGTGCCTCTAAAGTTTGCACCCTCCCCTGTGGTTGTAAAGGATGAAGCTGCTGACACCGATAACACACCTCCACTACCTGCCGCACGTTGCCGGCCATTTGCCGGGCGGCGCACGGTGGCCCACGGACTCATAATCAGATCGGGCGTCTCAGCAACAAAGAAGGAGAATCGCAACACTCTAACCACCGGCCAACCGGGCGGCGCACTGTGTCTTATGCCCCCCCTTGGAGTTCACTCACCTGCCGAACCTTCCAGGCTGCCTGGGCTTTCCGTCGCGGCCCTGGAGGATCGGAAGGACAAGGGTCGGAAGGATGACTCACCTGGTGCTTATGATGCCCTGCAGCAGCAGCAGACTGCATCCCCTGTGGTTCTTGCTGCTACCAGGGTTGCACAAGACCCTGGTGTTTCACCTGAGTCTCTGTTGCAACCTGGTGATTTACCTGAGGGTCAGATTCGCCATGAAGAGCAGCCAGGCTGTCAGGAGATTCCAGCAGAGGCAGCAGCTGAGGGAAGGACCGATGGCGTGGCAGAAGGGGGTCCTGCCACATCAGCAGCACCTGATTCGATCACACCTGCCATGTCAGCGGAGCCCGACAAATCGTCCATGTCAGCAGAGCTTGGCATGCCATCCTCGTCAGCAGACCCAGTCGCTGCTGACATGCCAGCAGAGCTGGTTGCTGCGTGCCTGGGAGCCAATCGCGTGCTCCGATCACGGAAAGCAGCGCCGCCAGCAGCAGCAGCAGCAGCAGCAGGAGGAGGAGGAGCAGCAGAAGCAGGAGGAGCAAGAGGAGTAAAGGCGACTGCAGGAGTGAAGTCAGAAGTAGGATGCAAGGCAGGAGGAGATGCATTGAAGACACCACCACAACGGGGGTTGAAAGCATCACCACAGGGCCTGACGTGGTCACATGGAGTGAAGGGGAATCAAGGCCTTGCTCGATCACCCGCCCAAGCTAAGTCACAAGGGCGTAAAGGGGTGAGAGGTGTGAGAAAGGGGAGAGAGGGAACGGGGGAGAAGAGTGGATTGGGGAAGAGAAAGGTTGGGAAGGCTAAGGGGAGAGGGAGGGGTGCTAAGAGGAGGCGAAAGGATGACGAAAGTGAGGAGGAGGAGAGTGAGGAGGAGGATGAGGAGGATAGTGGGCAAGAGAGTGAGGAGGGAGGTGGAAGGGAAGAAACACAAGAGGAGCTCAGGGGGAGAAGGGCGGGAGGGTTGGCAAGGGGGTTGGATGGAGGAGTGGGGAGGGAGGAGGAGGGAAGAGAGAAGAAGGTGAGGAGAGGGCGTGGTGGTAGCAAGGAGACACGTGATTGGGAGGAGGAGGAGGAGGGAGATGAAGGGAACAGGGAGAGTCACGGTGGTAACAAAAAGATTGTGGGGCAGGAATTGGGAGAAGGGGGATTGGTGGGGCCGGAGTATATGTGGCGCGATGGAGGGAAACAGTACCGGAGGAGAAAGCGGAGGTAAGCGCAGGAGAACTTCAAAGGCGGAGGTAAGTGCAGGAGAACTTGAAAGGCGGAGGTAAGTGCAGGAGAACTTGAAAGGTGGTTGGGCTTTAAGGAGTGTAGTGAGTGAGTGAGCAAACCCGCTCTTCAGGATGGGTGAGGGGAGGAAAAGGAGGATGGAGGGACTGCAGGGAATGAGCAAGTGAACTCCTTGGAGGAGCAAAACACACGCCCTCCACAAACAATGCAGGTAAGGAGGGTAACGTGGTAGTTGGGAAAGTTTAGGGGTGCAACTGCACCATCTGATACCTGTAGGATGTAGTGTGAGTGGAGTATACGGTACTGTAGATACACCACCGACCACTGAACAAGTTGTGGTCGGCTATCATTTTGGTGCAGTGCTGTGCTCGGTATTTTAGCCATAACTCTTTGGTACACATTATCTTGGTGCTTATCGAATCAGCATAGCCTTTCTACAGTGGAGCCTGAGCTACTTGTAATCCTGAACGTGCACAACACAACCAGCATCTGCATCAATCATCTGTATGACAGAACAGGAAAGAACCTACAGTCCCATCATTTCAGGAGATTCATGGGGCAAAGGTCCCTCTAAAAGCAGCATCATTGGGAATAGAGCGTATGTTGCAGCCACAGGAGAGGAGATTATGTGGGTGAAGAAAATGTAGCTGGTTCTGGGGTACCATACCATGTGTCATGAATCAAATCCAATCTTTTATACTCCGATACATATACATATCAGCTGTTATGTCTTCAGAAGCCATGGGCCTGCAAGCTCAATGTGCGTCTGCCAGCTCAACATGGGTAAGTCGGTTCCACATGTGCCTCATCATAACCTGCAGTGAAAAGAAGGCGGGTAGCAGGTACGTACGATGTGACCCAGGGTGAGGCAGAGTGATGCGAAGTGATGCCGCGTGCAGTGCAGAGTGATGCACGGTGATGCAGGATGGTACAGGTGTGAATGCAGGGTGATTTATGGTAGTGCGGAGTGATGAAAGTTGAATCACGGTAATGCAGGGTGATACACAATAGTGCAGGGTGATGAACGGTGTGCCTGATAGAAGCTGGCGAGTAAACAACGAATCTGAGCTGGAAACACAGCAATTTCTCAATTGTTACCAGTCTCGTGTTACCTACTCGTTGCAAACCGGTCTCGTTATACGTCACCGTTACTAACCCATCTCAAACGCGTTACTGGCTGGCGGTGACGGTGAGCTCGCCCTTGTCCAGCGCGTTGTACAACTCCTCCGTCTTGCGCTTCTCGTTGATGTGACCCATCTTCCACAGCGACCCGCCTGCCACGCAGCAATGAAATCGCACGGGTATTACGTAAGTATGGCACTTAGGCGCCTCATAAATAGCTTTGGGTTGATGTGACCTATCTTCCACAGAGACCCGGCCACGCAGCAATGTTATGTCAGCAGGATTGCGTTAGCCTCGTAATAAGCTTCGCGTTAACGTGGCTCGCAGCGAGTGCCAGTTTACAAGTACAAAACGAGCACTCCGTGAAAAGTCCTCGCGAATCTTTCAAGGTTCGCGTCTCCATGCTTCAGAAACATTTTACACGAAGAAGTCCGACAAACTTCATGAATAGAAAACAAGACCGTTGAGCGATTCGAGAGTAAGGTCAGGACGCAAGGTAAGAATGTCGTGGAAATGCCAGGGAAGGGGTTGGTGCAGGGACGGCGCCATTGAGGAGGAATAAGCGACGCTGCTATACTGAGTACAAAGCGACGCTCATGTACGAAGTGATAAGTGACTCTGTTGTACAAGGTAATAAGCGACGACGGACCTACGGCACCGAGGCTAAGGCCAGCGGCGATCTCGAAAATGACGCTCGGGCCGCCCTTCTTGGCGACAGCCGCACCGTGAGCCGCGATCTTGTGAGCAGCACCCATGTCGGCGAGCGGCGAGATCTGGAGTGGAGAAAGGTGGATCGAACGTGAACGGTGGCGGGATTCGCGGCGAGTGTGGTAAGAAACGGCGACGGAGCTGGGTGTAGGTGTAGGTGGGAGCTGACCTTTGCGTTGTGACAATGGCGGGGGCCTGGGTGTGCTAAAAAGAGCAGGGTCGGAGTTCTCAAGGCGAGAAGTTCCCTGGGCGAAGAGTTCCCCTGGCGTGGAGTTTCCAAGGCTAGGGGCGCGTGTCTAACCTTTTGGTGTAGACGTTCGAAAATAGGGTCAAACCTTTTGCTGGTAACCCGTTTCAATATCCTCGCTAAAACTTTCGCGAGGGAATCGTGTGTCCTGGTTCAAACTGTGTGAAGGAAGTTGGACACTAAACTGAAGTCGACCAGCGTTCGGATTTTAACGTTAACCTTTTCCCAATTGTGTGTTCTTTGACGCACGCCCAATTTTTTGCGAGGTTCACGACAATGACGAGGGAAAATGTATCGGGCTACCAATTTCGGTTCCGGTCACGAACTGCACCGCACAGCCGGGTAACCTACAGAAGTCAAGCGCGACTTGTAATCTGCTGTTTAAAGTTGAACTCTGATATTCGAACTTCGTTGTTCCATGCGCGACTCGGAATTGCTGACACTGCTCCTCGACCACGAAAAGTCAAGATGGTCGACCACAGGTCGACCAAGGTTCGAATGTGTAAATTCTAGGGTTTTTATACGGGCCGTCACAAAACATTTCGGAGTTATCACGAGCAGTCATATGTTTCGCCAAATCTATCACGGACAGTCACAAAATCTGCCAAATCTATCACGAACCGTCACACGGATATCACCCGCCGTCACTCAAAGGCACTAATTTCTATCACGGGTAGTCACACTCGAAACTTTGCTATCACAGATGAACCCTCTCATCATTTCGTTGACCCGCCCTGAAACACTGTACAGATTTAGGGACTATATTTCGGATTGCTGGCTTTTGTCCTGTATACGCGACCATTTTGGGTGCAAAGATACCTAGTTACTTTCGAATCGACGTAACACACTTTTGTTTTAAAATTTTTATGAAAGAATTCGAACGCATATATGCATACATCGCTAGAGTTCACAATTCACTGAATCTGCCTACATGTTTATCAAAATGCTAAATAATCCATAGCTTGGAACGCAAATTTTATATTTCTTCATACAGATGATGATATAAATTGTGCGTTCCAAGTTATGGATTGTTTAGCATTTTGATAAACATGTAGGCAGATTCAGTGAATTGTGAACTCTTGCAATGTATACATATACCGTCACCCCCCGGATATAAGCGCCACCCTAGGATAAGCGTCTGGCGCTTCTAATTGGCATATGGCGCTTATATCCCCTGCTCGATTATAAGCGCACCCCCTGAAAAAACTTGTTTTATTATAAGCGCACGTAAACTTATTTTTTTGAAATGTGTTCAAAACGCTTCAACGATTTCTACTTTAGCAGGCAGATGTTTTGCAGATTCGGTTCCCTTCACATTCGTGTGAAAAGAATGAACAGGAATGAAATGACTAAGTCAGAGTTGGGTACAAATACAACCCTAGAAAGCTGTACCCCGTATGTGCTACCCCACTATAGCCTACAAACATGCATCAGCTATAATAATCGGACACACCCCCATAGGCAAAGTGGGGGAGAACAAGGGGTCACAAGACCAGTCAAGCAAAGCAAAGCAAAGCAAGCTCAGGGTGGATCACAAAGTCACCACACAGTCCGAGCACAAGAGCAGGGCCAGAGGCCAGTTCACATGCAGGAGTACAGACATATATATAAAACTAGACAAGCAAGAGTAGGTATATATATATGTCACAGTACAAGTGAAGTCAAGAGGAGAGCAAGTGAGGCAAGACAGGCACAAGACCCAGCTGGGTGCAAAAGCGCTGATGGTCACAAGGCGCGAGTGCCTTGGTGAACACATCAGCAGTGTTGGCCTCAGAGGCCACGTACGCAAGTCGCAACTGACCACGCTGCTGCAGCTCACGAGCAAGGAAGTAGCGGAGAGCAATGTGTTTCGTTCTGTGCTCCAAGCGCTGCTCTCGACACAAGGCCAGCATGGCCTTGTTGTCTACGTACAGCACTGGAGGAGAACGAGGCGGCTCTCCAAGGTCAGTCAGCAGGTAGGTGAGCCAGCGAAGCTCCTGTGCAGCCATGGCCCCTGCGTAGATCTCAGCCTCACAACTCGAGCTGAGAACCGAAAACGAGCGAGTAGCCCGCCACGAGACAGAGCCGGAGCCAAGGCTGAAGGTGTAACCCTGTGACGACCGCTGCGTAGCCTGGTCGTCAGCCCAAGAAGCGTCCGCGTGGCCGGTAAGGACCACTGGACTCCGCCCTCCAAGCACTAGCCCCATGCCTGACGTACTGCACAGGTAGCGCAATACCCTCTTCGCTGCAGCCATTTGCTCTGGTCTGTGTCTCCCAGGAGCAACATAGCGTGCAAGAATGCTCAGAGGGTATGCAAGGTCAGGTTGTGTGCAGGTCATCAGGTACATGAGGCAGCCAACAAGCTCTGCATACGGACCACTCGACTCTACGGACTCATCCGAAGGCAGAGCTGAGAGTGAGTGGCGAGTAGGCAGAGGAGTGGCCTGAGGCGAGGAGTACGTGAAGCCGAAGCGCTGAAGGACCTGCTGCACCATGTGTGACTGAGTCAAGGTAATGGTGCGGCGTGCTCTGTCCCGAGTGATCTGCAAGCCAAGGTAGCTGCGCAGTTCACCCAGGTCTGTGCACGTGTGTCTCTTCAGCAGCTCGGACTTCACGTAGGCGAGTCCAGCAGTGTCCGCTGTGGCAAAGACCAAGTCGTCGACGTACACGAGGATGTAGAACGGCGGCAGGGAAGTGTCGGTGCGAAGAAACAGCGACGGGTCAGCAGTAGAAGGAGCAAACCCAAGGGCCGCAAGCGTAGTCCTCAATGTGTCGTGCCACTCACGCGGTGCCTGGCGGAGACCGTAGACTGGCCGTCGGAGGCTCCACTGGGTGCCAGGAGAGAAAGTCCCAGTGAAGCCAGGTGGACGGCGAAGCCAGATCTCCTCGTGCAGGCTACCCTGCAAGAACGCAGTGCTGAAGTCGAGAGAGTGAAGCTCGTAGTCGCGCTGAGCGGCTATGTGCAGCAGCACCCGAAGAGTAGTCATCTTCGGGGTGGGAGAGAAGGTCTGAAAGTAGTCAACTCCCTGCCGCTGACTGAAGCCACGAGCGACGTACCGTGCCTTGAAGACAGGTGGAGAGCCCGGCGGCCGCTTCACCCTGAAGATCCACATGCCACTGACGATGTTCGCCCCGGGAGGGGGAACCGCGTCAACGTAGGTGCCTATGGACTTCCAGGAAGCGATCTCTGCATCCATAGCTGCCTGCCACTGAGAGGAGTAGGGACCCTCTACGGCCTCCGCGTTCTTACGCGGAGTCGGGATGTCTAGTGCATCCGGGTCTCCCTCAGGGGCAAGCAGTACAGACGCGAGATGAGGTGAAGCAGCCGCTAGATACTGTAACTCCTCCTGCCTGTCCTCAAGGACGTCCGTGCCAAGAGCACACTCACCCCCGACGGACGGAGGACAGACAGACGCAGACTCAGCAACAAGACTAGCAGCGTAGTCGAGACGACAACGAGCAGCAAAGTCGACGAGCTCAGCGACTAGAGCAAACGCAGCAGTGGACTCAAAAGAGGGGTCAGTAACGACAGTAGCAAGCAGACGCGTGACAGTAGGACTAGCAGCACGAAGAGAGTCCGACTCAGGGTCGGCAAGCGCAGGAAGAGAGGACTCAGGACGAGAAGGCAAAGGGGCACGCAGAGGAGCAGTGGACGGACGCAGAGACATCCGGTGCGTGCCAGGGACAGGAGGAGGACGCTGACGCGCACTGCGACCACTAGCGCGAGCAGCACGAACAGGCGACGCGGGACGAGACGCAGGCTCACGGCGCTCAGCAAGACCTCCAGTAGGACCAGTGTAAGGAGAGGGAGCAGGCAGTGGAGAGGAAGGCTCCAGTAGGGACTGCGACTGGACAGGCGGTGGACCCTCTACCGGAGGAGAAAGACCAAGAACCTGCTGCAGGAGCGGAACGAAGTACGGCCGAGGCCGCGCGGCAGCTCCTGACTCAGCAGGGACAGCACCAGCACCCTCAGCGACAGCACCAGCGCCAACCACACCTCCAGCGGCAGGACCAACAGCAGTAGGCGCAGCACCAACGCCCTCAGCAGCTCCGGCTCCAGAAGGACCCGCAGGTCCAGCAGCACCGGGACCTGCAGCACCCGCACCCTCGTTGGTCGAAGAAGCTCCAGCTCCAGCTCCAGCAGCACCTCCAGACTCAGCAGCACGCCTCCAGCGGCGAGCGAACCACTCGCGCAGCTCCTGTGGAGAGAGGGGCTCCCGGCGAGACGCAGCAGTAGGAGAAACCCTAGGCTCAACAGCTCCAGACGTAGCACCCCCAGGCTCAGCAGCTCCCAGCTCAGCACCCCCAGGCTCAGCAGCTCCCGACCCAGCACCCCCAGACCCAGCACCTCCAGGCACAGCACCCCCCGGCTCAGCACCCCCAGGCTCCGCACCCTCCGCAGTTGTACCCTCAGGCCCAGCACCCCCAGCAGTAGCACCCCCAGGCTCAGCACCCCCGCGCACAGCACCCCCAGAGTCAGCACCCCCAGGCTCAGCACCCGCAGCAGCACCAGAGTCACCAGTAACCTCGACCGGGTCAACGGCGTCTACCTGGGACACACCTGAGGGGGCAGGAACCTGAGGGGGGAGGGGGTCCACCGGGGGGGGAACCGGCACAAGGAAGTCCGGGGGAGGTGGGAGGGAAGGAGTGCGGTAGGGGAAGAGACGGTAGAAGGGGACTGACTCGTCGAACGTGACGTCCTGGGAGGACAAAACACGACGGGAGGAGGGGTGGTAAAACTGCCACCCTGGGGCGTCAGTGGGGAAGCCAAGGAAGACACAGGGAACGGCACGAGGGGACAGCTTGTCCGCAGACAGGTCGCGGACAAACGCCCGAGATCCCCAGACACGGAACACAGACGCATCGCCAACCTTCCCCGTCCACAGCAAGGCTGGGGACATCGCAGGCCGAGAGACCCGGGGGTGAAGGTTGAGCTGATGCGCCGCGTACCTCACCGCAAACGGCCACAGAAAATGGGGGGCAGCCGCATGCATCATGGACGTACGAGCGACATCCATGACCATGCCAATGCGGCGCTCAGCAATCCCATTTTGCTGTGGTGAGTCCGGAAGCGTGAAGGTCTGGCGGATCCCCCGTGCACGACAGTAGTCTCGCAGAAGGCGAGAAGAGAACTCTCCGCCTCTGTCCGAGTGCAGATGCAGTACAGGGAAGTCAGAGCCGAAGCTCTTCCTGAGCTGGAGACGAGCCTCGCGGATCCAGTCGATCAGCACCTCAGTGACCGCACCCTTGCTGCGCAAGGGGAGGACTGTGGTGTAACGCGAGTAGTCGTCAACCACCAACAGGAAGTAGCGCTCGTGACCCTGCCCACGGACGGGGGCTGGGCCCCACACATCCATGTGAAGCGTCTGCAGGGGAGCCTCTGTCGGGGGGAAGTGGGAGGAGTGAGGAGTAGCCCGGAGGCGACCCTCGACACAGGGGACACAGGAAGGTCCTGGTCCGGAGGGGAGAGGAGGGAGAGACTGGGGAAGACCAGAGACAAGGACACGGGAAGCCATGCTCCGAAGACGGGGCAAGGAGGGGTGGCCAAGACGGTGGTGCTACAGGAGAGTCTCGTGAGACAGGAGGCGACAAGAACAGGGGGCAGACTAAGGACCTGACCGGGACGCAGCAGCAAGCACCTGACCTGACGCAGCCACCTGACCAGACGCAGGGACAGGAGGAGACTCAACGGTCAGGGTGTAGAGACTCGACCCCGGCCGACGCGAGAACGTGGCCAGGTGTCGGCCTGTGCGTGCCTCCGTGCAGTGGGTCACCCGCTGACTCACAGGAGTGAACTGGTGAACCCCCACATCCTGCAGGTCCGCGCCACTCACCAAGTTCGTAGAGAACGAGGGAAGGTACAGACCAGACAGGGTGCCCGAAGGGGCAGCCGGACACGGGAGGACAGTGGAGAAGTGAGACAGGACAGGACCCCCAGAGGGGTCAGCAAGGGAGACTGCAACCGGCCGGTCGAGCGGCGTAAGGGAAGTGCGGTCTCGAAAGAAGGAGCGAGAAGCCCCGGAGTCAAGTGTGAAAGTGAGGGAGGACGAGGACGACGCAGTACCTGAGAGCGCAGTCTCACCAGTACCTGAGAGCGCAGACGCACTGGCACCTAGAGCAGCAGCCTCACAAGCACCTAGCGCAGCAGTACCAATGCCCTTAAAAATCGTGGGTGGGCCCTTAAAAAAAAAACGGTCCTTAGGAGGGACCCGCTCTGATACCATGTGAAAAGAATGAACTGGAATGAAATGACTAAGTCAGAGTTGGGTACAAATACAACCCTAGAAAGCTGTACCCCATATGTGCTACCCCACTATAGCCTACAAACATGCATCAGCTATAATAATCTGACAATTCGGACCCTGCACTGGATTCGAGTCCAGTCAGCAGGAGCTGTGATGAGCTGTCAGGAGCTGGATGTGAGTCAGATTGGGTGTACCTCCCTGCGCGCGCGAGAATTTTACAGACGACCCCATGTAACTTCGTCTCGACTGAAAAGGCAAGCACGAGATCTACAGCATGGTGTTCAAAAATATATAAAAACATATATGTCATTTTATAAACGCCGGCGCTTATAAATTTACTCGATTATAAGCCCACCCCCCTAAAAAAACCTGCTTTATTATTGCCTCCCATGGGGTATATCCGGGGTATGACGGTATGCGTTCAAATTCTTTCATAAAATCTTAAAACAAAATTGTGTTACGTCGATTCGAAAGTAACCAGGTATCTTTGCACCCAAAATGGTCGCGTATACAGGACAAAAGCCAGCAATCCGAAATATAGTCCCTAAATCTGTACAGTGTTTCAGGGCGGGTCAACGAAATGATGAGAGGGTTCATCTGTGATAGCAAATTTTCGAGTGTGACTACCCTAAGAAGAAGTGAACGAGAATGAATGAACTATGAATGAAGTGAGTACAAATATGAAACCCTAATTGGGTTGTACCCCCTATGGGATACCCCACTATAGCCTACACAAATAAGAAAGCTATAATGTTCTGACACACCCCCATAGGCAAAGTGGGGGAGAACAAGGGGTCACAAGACCAGTCAAGCAAAGCAAAGCAAAGCTCAGGGTGGATCACAAAGTCACCACACATTCCGAGCGCAAGGTCAAGGGCCACAAGGCCAGTTCCCATGTAAGATCATATATAGAGATATACAAGAGTCAAGCAAGCAAGAGCAAGAGTATATATAGGTCAAGGTACAAGCAAGGTCAAGAAGTGAGCAAGTGAGGCAAGACAGGCACAAGACCCAGCTGCGTGCAGCAACGCTGATGATCACAAGGCGCAAGTGCCTTGGTGAAGACATCAGCAGTGTTGGCCTCAGAGGCCACGTACGCAAGTCGCAACTGTCCACGCTGCTGTAGCTCATGAGCAAGAAAGTAGCGGAGAGCAATGTGCTTTGTCCTGTGCTCCAGTCGCTGCTCTCGACACAAGGCCAGCATGGCCTTGTTGTCTACGTACAGCACTGGAGGAGAACAAGGCGGCTCTCCAAGGTCGGTCAGCAGGTAGGTGAGCCAGCGAAGCTCCTGAGCAGCCATAGCCCCGGCGTAGATCTCAGCCTCACAACTGGAGCCGAGAACAGAAGACGAGCGAGTAGCCCGCCACGAGACAGAGCCGGAACCAAGGCCGAAGGTGCAACCCTGTGACGACCGCTGCGTAGCCTGGTCGTCAGCCCAAGAAGCGTCCGCGTGCCCAGTGAGGACCACTGGACTGCGCCCTCCAAGCACTAGCCCCATGCCCGACGTACTGCACAAGTAGCGCAACACCCTCTTCGCTGCAGCCATGTGCTCTGGTCGGTGTCTCCCAGGAGAAACATAGCGCGCGAGAATGTTGAGAGGGTATGCAAGGTCAGGTCGTGTGCAGGTCATCAGGTACATGAGGCAGCCAACAAGCTCTGCATACGGGCCACTCGACTCTACGGACTCATCCGAAGGCAGAGCTGAGAGCGAGTGGCGAGTAGGCAGAGGAGTGGCCTGAGGCGAGGAGTACGTGAAGCCGAAGCGCTGAAGGACCTGCTGCACCATGTGTGACTGAGTCAGGGTAATGGTGCGGCGTGCTCTGTCTCGGGTGATCTGCAAGCCAAGGTAGCTGCGCAGTTCACCCAGGTCAGTGCACGTGTGTCTCTTCTGCAGCTCGGACTTCACGTAGGCGAGTCCAGCAGTGTCAGCTGTGGCAAAGACCAAGTCGTCGACGTACACGAGGATGTAGAACGGCGGTAGAGAGGTGTCGGTGCGCAGAAACAACGACAGGTCGGCAGTAGAAGGAGCAAACCCAAGTGCCGCAAGCGTAGTCCTCAGTGTGTCGTGCCACTCACGTGGCGCCTGGCGGAGACCATAGACTGGACGCCGGAGACTCCACTGGGTACCAGGAGGGAAAGACCCAGTGAAGCCAGGTGGGCGACGCAGCCAGATCTCCTCGTGCAGGCTGCCCTGCAAGAAAGCTGTGCTGAAGTCGAGAGAGTGCAGCTCGTGGTCGCGGTGAGCAGCAACGTGCAGCAATACCCGAAGAGTGGTCATCTTCAGGGTGGGGGAGAAGGTGTGAAAGTAGTCAACTCCCTGTCGCTGACTGAAGCCACGAGCCACGTAACGAGCCTTGAAGACAGGCGGAGAGCCCGGCGGCCGCTTCACCCTGAAGATCCACATGCCACTGACGATGTTCGCCCCAGGAGGGGGAACAGCGTCAACGTAGGTGCCTATGGACTTCCATGAAGCCATCTCTGCATCCATAGCTGCTTGCCACTGAGAGGAGTAGGGACCCTCTATCGCCTCCGCGTAAGATCGCGGAGTCGGGAAGTCAAGTGCATCCGGGTCTCCCTCAGGGGCGAGTAGTACAGACGCGAGATGAGGTGAAGCGGCTGCGAGACACTGGAACTCCTCCTTCCTGTCCTCAAGGACGTCCGTGCCTAGGGCACACTCACCCTCGACGGACGAAGGACAGGCAGACTCAGACTCAGCGACAAGACTAGCAGCGTAGTCTAGACGACAGCGCGCAGCAAAGTCGACAAGCTCAGTGACAAGGGCAGACGCAGCAGAAGACTCAAAGGAAGGGTCAGTGACAGCAGTAGCAAGGAGACGCGTGACAGTGGGACTGGCAGCACGAAGAGAGTCCGACTCCGGGTCGGCAAGATCAGGAAGAGAGGAAGCAGGAGGAGAAGGCAAAGGGGCACGCAGAGGAGCTGTAGACGGACGTAGAGACATCCGGTGCGTGCTAGGGACAGGAGGAGGACGCTGACTTGAACCGCGACCACTAGTGCGTGTAGTGCGAACAAGCGACGCAGGACGAGACGCAGGCTCACGACGCTCAGTAAGACCTCCAGTCGGACCAGCGTAGGGAGAAGGAGCAGGCAAAGGGGAGGCACGCTGTAGCTGTAACCGTGACGGGACTGGCTGTGGACCCTCTAAGGGAGGAGGAGGAGGACCAGGAGAAGGTGTCAGACCAAGAACCTGCTGCAGGAGCGGAACGAAGTACGGTCGGGGCCGCGTGGCGACGCCAGAAACAGCAGGGACAGCACCAGTACCCCCAGCAGGAGCACCCGCTCTAGCAGCACCTCCAGCAGCACCTCCAGCACCCCCAGCAGCACCAGGAGCACTGCCAGTCGAACCGCCAGCAGTAGTCTCAGCGCCAACACCCTCAGTAGTACCAGCTCCAGGAGAACCCGCAGACCCAGCAGCTCCAACACCTACAGCACGAGCACCTCCGGGACGCACGGCAGCAGCACCCTCTGCAGCCGAAGAACCTCCAGCACCAGCAGCACGCCTCCAGCGCCGGGCAAACCACTCACGCAGCTCCTGTGGGGAGAGTGGCTCTCGGCGAGACGAAGCACCTCCAGGCGGAGAACCTCCAGGCTCAGTACCCTAAGGCAAAACACCTCCAGGCGGAGCACCCCCAGTCTCAGCACCCCCAGGCTCAGCACCCCCAGGCTCAGCACCCCCAGGCTCAGTACCCCCAGGCTCAGCACCCCCAGGCTCAGCACCCCCAGGCTCAGTACCCCCAGGCTCAGCACCCCCAGGCTCAGCACCCCCAGACTCCGCACCCCCTGGCTCAGCACCCCCAGGCTCAGCTCCCGCAGCAGCACCAGAGTCACGAGTGACCTCGACAGGCTCGACCGCGTCTACTTGGGACACACCTGAAGGGGCAGGACCCTGAGGGGGGAGGGGGTCTACCGGGGGGGGACCTGGTACCAAGAAGAGCGGGGGCGGGGGAAGGGAAGGAGTGCGGTAGGGGAAGAGGCGGAAGTAGGGTACCGACTCATCGAACGTGACGTCCTGGGAGGACAGAACACGTCGAGAGGTGGGGTGGTAGAACTGCCACCCAGGGGCGTCGGGGGGGAACCCCAGGAAGACGCAGGGAGCAGCGCGAGGGGACAGCTTGTCCGCAGACAAGTCGCGGACAAACGCCCGAGATCCCCAGACCCGGAACGCCGACGCATCGCCAACCTTCCGCGTCCACAGCAGGGCTGGGGAGGTCTCCGGCCACGAGACCCTGGGGTGGAGGTTGATCTGATGCGCCGCGTACCTGACCGCAAACGGCCATAGAAAATGGGGGGCAGCCGCATGCATCATAGACGTACGAGCGACGTCCATGACCATGCCAATGCGGCGCTCTGCAATCCCATTTTGCTGCGGTGAGTCCGGAATTGTGAAGGTCTGGCGGATGCCTCGCGCACGACAGAAGGCACGCAGAAGGCCAGAGGAGAACTCTCCGCCTCTGTCTGAGTGCAGACGCAACACAGGAAAGTCTGAGCCAAAGCTCTGCCTGAGCTGGAGACGAGCTGCGCGGATCCAGTCGATCAGCACCTCGGTGACATCACCCTTGCTGCGCAAGGGGAAGACTGTGGTGAAACGCGAGTAGTCGTCAACCACCAGCAGGAAGTAGCGCTCGTGACCGAGTCCACGGACGCGGGCAGGGCCCCACACGTCCATGTGAAGTGTCTGCAACGGAGCCTCTGTGGGAGGAAACTGGGAGGAGTGAGGGGCAGCACGCTGGCGCCCCTCGACACAGGGGACACAGGCAGGGCCAGGGCCCTAAGGAAGGGGAGGGAGGGACCGGGGGAGACCAGACACAAGAAGACGGGAGGCCATGCCTCTGAGCTGAAGCAGAGAGGGGTGGCCAAGGCGGTGGTGCCAGAGGAGAGTCTCGTGAGACAGACGGCGACACGAACAGGGGGCAGACTCAGGACCAGACCTGGACGCTGCAGCAAACACCTGACCAGAAGAAGGGACTCTACCAGACTCAGCACCGGAAGGAGAAGCAGTGGTCAGTGTGTACAGGCTCGACCCTGGCTGACGTCTAAACGTAGCCAGGTGGCGACCTGTGCTCGCCTCTGTGCAGTGTGTCACCCGCTGACGAGCAGGAGTGAACTGGTGGACCCCCACATCCTGTAGGTCAGCACCACTCACCAGGTTCGTAGAGAACGAGGGGAGGTAAAGACCAGTCAGGGTGCCAGAGGGAGCCGCCGGACACGGGAGGACTGTGGAGAAACGAGACAGGACAGGACCCCCAGAGGGGTCAGCCTGGGACACCGCAACAGGCCGACTAAGCGGCGTGAGAGTGGTGCGGTCCCGAAAGAAGGAGCGAGACGCCCCAGAGTCAAGGGTGAAGGTGTGGGAGGCAGAAGCCGACACAGTACCTGAGAGGGCTGACTCACTAGCACCTGAGAGCACAGACGCACTGGCACCTAGAGCAGCAGCCTCACTGGCACCTAGAGCAGCAGTACCAATGCCCGGGTCGGGCGGAAAGCACTGGTAACAGTCACCATCATCAGTAACACCCACAGCATACATGGCAGCAAGGATAGCATCAAAGTCAAGATCAAACACAGCTACACCAGCCCTAGACAGCTCTCCCCAGCGGGGGATCTCAGAGGCCTCCGGAAACTGCTGGCGCCAAGCGTCGGTCAGGCGGGCAAAGCAGCGGCGAGCGGTGTGGGTGCCCCCACACTGCTCACCCGCGCGGTCGCCGGTGCGAAGGACGTAGGTGCAGGGACCGAACGCCCCACCACGCTGACGCTGCGAGTACCACTCACGGAGCTGCTGAGGGGCGGGGACGTCGCGAGAGCGCTGCTGCTGCTGCTGCTGCTGGCGCTGACCACCCCCAGTGCCGCTCCTCTGGGACGAGCCACTCCGACCACCTCCACCACCGCCACCCCCGCCTCCGCCGCCACCGCCGCCACCGCCACCCTCGCCCCCGCCGCTCCCACTGCCTCCTCCGCCACCACCTCAGCCGCCACCTCCGCCTCCACCGCCGCCACCAGGACCTCCACCCCCGCCTCCACCCCCACCGCCACCCCCACTCCCCCCGCCGCCCCCACCTCCTCCGCCACCGCCCCCGCTAGCTCCACCCGCTCCCTTGCCCCCCTTGCTCCTGCCAAAGCGGCGCCTACCGCTGGGGGCAGACGCCGCATCGACCGACTCTAAACCAACGAGGTCGGCCGCAGCAGCGGAGGCGACAGAGGGTAGCAGGGGGGAAGGAGAACACCCCTCAAAGATGGGGGTGCGCGGGTCACCACGAGAGGCCCCTACAGCGACTATGCTCTTCTCGGCCGCTAGCAGGGACTTCTCGAGGAGGTCAACAGTGAGGGTGGTGGGATAGACAGAGAGAAACTGGTCCCTAACAGCACGAAGGGACTCAGGGAGACGGGTGACTAGAAAGTAGAGGGTGATGTACATGGGAGGGGGGTTTTCAACGAGGAAGGCAGCAGGAAGCGCAGCTCGGTAGCGAGTGTCACTAGCGCGAAGGTGGGTAAAGAGGTCAGTGACTGTGGGAAAGGCAGCAAGGTCAGAGAAGAGGTACGGTAGCATGAGGCGGCTCAGTGTAGCAGTGGAAGGGGAGGAGTAGCGCGCAACTACATCGTCGTACAAGGCCTTAGCAGTCTTGCAGTGACTAAAGTGTGCACGCTCGGAGGAAGGGAGGTGGCGACGCACAGCAAGACGTGCAGCAGCATCGCGTGTAGCCCACTTGGAGCGAACAGTGGGGTCAGCATCAGCAGGAGGGGCAGGGACAGCGCCAGAGACAAAGTCAAAGAGAGAAACCTCATCGATTGCATCGCACAGTAAGTACAGCTGCAGGTCCTCAATCCAGACAGCAAAGTCAATGGCGCGACCCTCAGCGTCAAAAGTCATGACACTGGGGGTGGCCATTGTAGCAGCTGACAGTCTCACCGGGCAGGAAGAGTTGGGTAGCAGAACGACACAGTAACACGGCAGCACAGCAGCTGCGCCTGCCCAGGAGCCCCACAGGAGCAGAAGATCGGCTCCTCGGGCGGCTCGGGCGGCTCGGGCGGCTCGGGCGGCTCGGGCGGCTCGAGCGGCTCGGGCGGCTCGGGCGGCGTGGGCGGCTCGGGCGGCTCGGGCGGCGTGGGCGTCTCGCGGACGGCTCGCGGGCGGCTCACAGGCGGCAGCACGGGCGGCTGGTGCGGCTCGTGGACAGCTGCACGGGCGGCTGGAGCGGCGAGCGGGCGGCTCACGGGCGGCTGCACGGGCGGCCGAGGCGGCTCACGGGCGACTGGGGCGGCTGCACGGGCTGCTGGGGCGGCTCGCAGGCTGCTCACGGGCGGCTGCACTGACGGCCGCACGGGTAGGTGCACGGGCGGGTGCACGGGCGGCCGCACGGGTAGGTGTACGGGCAGGTGCACGGGCGGGTACACGGGCGGGTGCACGGGCGGGCACACGGGCGGCTGCACGGGCTGCTCGTCGGGCGGCGCTAGGGCGGCGTTAGGGCGGGCAGCGGGCAGCGCGACGGGCGGCGCGTTGGGCAGCGCGACGGGCGGCGCTAGGGCGGCTGCACGGGCAGCGCGACGGGCTGCGCTAGGGCGGCGCGTTGGGCGGCGCGTCGGGCGGCGCTAGGCTGGCGCGTCGAGCGGCGCTAGGGCGGCACTAGGGCAGCGCGTCGGGCAGCGCTGTGGGCGGCGCGTCTGGCGGCTAGCGTTAGAGCAGGCCGCGGACGGGCGCTAGGGCGCTAGGGGCGGCGCTCACGTTCGAGGGCGGGCGGTGCGCTAGCGGCTAGGGCAGAAAAAAAAGACGTTTCCAGGTGGTAGGCCCTAAGCACAGGTCCCATAGGGGAACCTGCTCGATACCATGAGAAGAAGTGAACGAGAATGAATGAACTATGAATGAAGTGAGTACAAATATGAAACCCTTATTGGGTTGTACCCTCTATGGGATACCCCACTATAGCCTACACAAATAAGTAAGCTATAATGTTCTGACATACCCGTGATAGAAATTAGTGCCTTTGAGTGACGGCGGGTGATACCCGTGTGATGGTTCGTGATAGATTTGGCAGATTTTGTAACTGTCTGTGATAGATTTGGCGGAACATATGACTGCTCGTGATAACTCCGAAATGTTTTGTGACGGCCCGTATAAAAACCCTAAATTCGAAAACAAGACTCGACGTTCAACGTCGTAAGGGTTGCGTAGGTGCTAAATCCTCGATATAAATGCAACACTAGCCAAAAGGTAACTAATCTTCATGGATCATTCACCCATCTACAATTGTTTCTTCTCATACATAATGCATATTAATCTGTATGTTACGACTAATGTTTAACAGATGACCATAACATGATAATTTTTTACACAGGAAAATCATGGTAACAATAATATTTCTAGTATTTGTAGTAATCATATACTAGTTTTTTTCCCCCTTTTTGCTTTCGTCATGTTGTAGAGCTGACACAATGAAAGCGTGGAATGTACAGTGCACTTTTAGCTAAGTCACTTTGGTTTCACGTGTTCACGCGTGCAAGCGGCTGGATACAGAACCAAACCCCTCCCACATTCCAAGAACCATAAACTTGTTCATCCCAGCGGCAAGTGAATAATTCTTGCCATCTCACGCTGGTACCTCAGCTCTTTACAAGCTCCCGTCACCAGGAAATCGCCGTGTCACCGTGACAAACGCCCGTGACAGGCGTCCGTGACAAACACCCGTGACAAGTGACCGTGACAAGCGCCCGTGGTAAACGACACGTTCGTGAGTACATTAGTGATATCCCCCCTGCTGTAGCAGCGCGCTGCCTTCTTGCGTGCTCACGCCTTGCTGCGCGCTGGTGCCGTGCTGCAGCAGCGTGTTGGGGCCTTTCTGCAGCGCTTTAGTGCCTCGCAGCGCGCTGGTTGCGCGTCGGCGCCTTGCTGCGTCAGCGCGCTGGCTCATGATGCGACAACGCGCTGGCGCATAGCGCGCTGGCGCCTAAGGCGCTGGCGCCTAGCGCGCTGGCGCCTAGCGTGCTGGCGCATAGCGTGCTGGCGCCTCACCCAATGGCGCCTTACGCGCTGGCGCCAACACGCGCCTTGCTGCAGTGAGCTCGCGCGTTGCTGCAGTGAGCTCGCGCCTTGCTGCAGTTAGCTCATGCGTTGCTGCAGTGAGCTCACGCGTTGCTGCAGTGAGCTCACGCGTTGCTGCAGTGAGCTCACGCCTTGCTGCAGTGAGCTCACGCGTTGCTGCAGTGAGCTCACGCCTTGCTGCAGTGAGCTCACGCCTTGCTGCAGTGAGCTCACGCGTTGCTGCAGTGAGCTCACGCGTTGCTGCAGTGAGCTCACGCGTTGCTGCAGTGAGCTCACGCGTTGCTGCAGTGAGCTCACGCGTTGCTGCAGTGAGCTCACGCCTTGCTGCAGTGAGCTCACGCCTTGCTGCAGTGAGCTTACGCGTTGCTGCAGTGAGCTCACGCGTTGCTGCAGTGAGCTCACGCGTTGCTGGAGTGAGCTCACTCGTTGCTGCAGTGAGCGCACGCGTTGCTGCAGTGAGCTCACGCCTTGCTGCAGTGAGCTCACGCCTTGCTGCAGTGAGCTTACGCGTTGCTGCAGTGAGCTCACGCATTGCTGCAGTGAGCTCACGCGTTGCTGGAGTGAGCTCACTCGTTGCTGCAGTGAGCGCACGCGTTGCTGCAGTGAGCTCACGCCTTGCTGCAGTGAGCTCACGC